GAGATCCGATTTTCCTAAAAGAGATCAACTTCCTCTATCTTGAAATCTATGCGTTTTAGGAGCTATTTTGTATCCTCAATCACCCCAAAAATCACCACTTGAAGTTTAGATACATACTAAATTATCACCCTGTATATTTGATACCATTGTTATTCCCTTCTTTCCACCAGGTTTGATTTTTAATAAATTCATCTCATGCTACCTACAACACAAATTACTTTTTATTACAATTAATTGATTGTACCACGGTACCATTATGTTTCATTCGCAAAAATGTGTATTTTTTGTAACCATGTTGATGAACCTTACAATAATTTATTCATGTAATTCGTTATTTTATACAGCATTTCAATGTTAGCATCAAAATGAGAAAATTAAAATCAAATGAATAAAGATGTTCCTAGTCTGAGTTAAGGACACTAATTGTCCTGTTTAATAAACGTATTTTCACACATATTCTTGGGATTTTTGGTTTTCCATACGCTTTTGACGCACAAGTCAATAGTGAAAAAATATTTTACTATACGAGTATTGAACCACAGAAAATTAGGAAAAGTGAGGGAGTCGTCCATCCAACGCAATACCTACTTGAGTTTTTTTTTCGCGAAGACATCATTTGAGTAAGTCCATGACACATCGCTGAATAACAAGAACCGAATGAAGAAAATGCAGAATATTTGGTCAAAAACGTGGTGACTATGTCGACAATACGACATTGGACAAGTCACCAAAAGTGATCATAGTGCCGAAACAGCTTTCGAGTTTGTCTTGGTTCAAGGAAAAACATTGTTTTGAAATTCAGACTGATAAGAATAAGTCAAATTCCTTATCGAGCAAAAATGGCAAGAAATGAGTTGCTACCCATGAAGTCTCCTGAAAAATTCATAGACTGGAAACTCAGGAATAAAATCATGTCATTTTCAATGATATCTTATGAAGTTGTTAAGATATGAAAAACGGCTACATTTCGGTTCAAACTGGGGGCAATTTACCAATAAACAAATACAAGAATTGTACATTCTACTTGATTTTTCAGGATTTTCTCTCCTTGTTTCTATAAAATAAAAATATGAGTATTATTTCAATATATGTGTCAGTGACAATTTGTTTGGAAAAATGTTTGAAGAGAAGAAATATAGATATATTGAAAAAATATCGAATTTTTACTTATCTTTGGACGTTTCGGGAACGAATCTGCTCCCGTTCTCAACATAAAAATGCAAAATATTTTTCTTAAAAAATGTTTTTCTTATAATTTGACACTTTGCAATTTGCATATGGATGAGTAATGCTGTTAGTATACAAATGAGTTACAGAATGTTTTTATCAAATACTGATGTTGGCATATGGATGAGTGATGATGTTAGTATACAAATGAGTTACAGGAGGTTTTTATCAATTGATATGTCACTGAGAGGTGTCAAACTATAAGAAAAACATTTTCGAAGAAAAATATTTTGCATTTTTATGTTGAGAACGGAGCAGATTCGTTCCCGAAACGTCCAAAGATAAGTAAAAATTCGATATTTCTTCAATACATCTATATTCCTTCTCTTCAAACATTTTTTCAAACAAATTGTCAGTGACATTTTGGGGCAAATCATCCGATTTGTCTTTCTAGGGAGGGTAGGGAAAGGTGACAGGAGTTGGATTTTTTTTTACCTTTGGTGATATCAGAATTTGGGGTTCATCAAAATGGCAGGTACACCAATATCGTTCAATTAGATTATATAAACCTCGATGTTAATCATCTAATTGAGGGTCAGCCCGAATTTTGTGGCTGCTTATTGACATTTCAACCAACTTGTTTAGTAATTTGAGATATAAAGTTGTAAAGTTGGCAATGGATCTATAGGTAACATTTACTTCATTGAATGTCAAATCATCTCGACAGTTCACAACTGGATCGATTTGAAGTGAAACAGCAAGCAGAACAGGAAGGAGGCTTAAAACGTCAGTACTAGCTAGACGAGAATTGTAGACTATTAAAATGGTGTTTTTTTGAAGCATCACTGCATATTCAGTCATAAAAATTATGCATTCATGTTATGTTAGTCTCCTGCACTTCAGTTCCATGCGTGTTTCATTGAAATTTACGCGTTTGTTGATGCTTACTACTATTAATGGTTATTGACATCAACTCTGGCTCTCAATTGAATGACGCAGTATTTTTGAAAATTTTTGATTTCAGGTGATCGTCTCACACACATGCAATACAACTTTTTTCTGAATTTCAGAAGTGTAAAATGTTGAAGTCTGCTCTTCAAATCGTTATTAGGTGACTGAAATAATTTGCAGGTCCTTTTCATGATATTCATAATGATTTTTCATTATTCATTATACAACATAATGATTATTCAAACATAGCCATATAATTGTTTTGGATTGTTATCTGTATCTCTATAAATAAAAATATTAGTATGAATTCAACATACTTGTAGTAAGGACAAATCAGAAGGAGATTTTTGACATTTTTATCTAGAAAACAGCTGTAACTCCGAACGAGCTGAATTTCTTGAACCAAGATCCACTCAGGAGTCACAGAAGGGTGGACTGGTAAGCTGTTTCAACGTTTCTTTCACAAACCGCCTACCGATCTGTTTCGGCATTCTTACCAGAAATACCCATCCACAATCGAGTCCACTCTATCAAAACACCACATTCACCACATCCGTGAAAAATTCTATTCACAACGAAACAATTTGGAAAAACACTGCAAGGTTGAGCTGAAAATCAAAAATCGATGCCAATAAACGGGATATCATCAACAAATGAAAAACATTTACTAATTTCAATCAATCTGAATTTCTTGAACCAAGAACCACTCAGTACAAAGAGGTGGACGGGTAAGCTGTGTCGACGTTTTGTCCACTGTCAGCGAACTAGCCAATGACGTGTTTTGACATCGCGACCACTTTCACAAACGGCCTACCGATCTGTTTCGGCATTCTTACCAAAAATACCCATCCACAATCGAGTCCACTATATCGAAACACTACGTTGACCACGTCGGTAAAAAATCTATTCACAATGCCAAAATGTGAAAAAATACTGCAACGTTGAGCTGAGAATCAAAAATCGATGCCAATAAACGAGATATCATCAACACATGAAAAACATTTACTAATATCAATCAATCTGAATTTATTGAACCAAAAACCACTCAGTTCAGAGGGGTGGGGATATCATCAACAAATGAAAAACATTTACTAATTTCAATCAATCTGAATTTCTTGAACCAAGAACCACTCAGTACAAAGAGGTGGACGGGTAAGCTGTGTCGACGTTTTGTCCACTGTCAGCGAACTAGCCAATGACGTGTTTTGACATCGCGATCACCTTCACAAACCGCCTACCGATCTGTTTCGGCAATCTTACCAAAAATACCCATCCACAATCGAGTACACTCTATCGAAACACCACGTTGACCACATCCGTGAAAAAATCTATTCACAATGCCAAAATGTGAAAAAATACTGCAAGGTTGAGCTGAGAATCAAAAATCGATGCCAATAAACGAGATATCATCAGCACATAAAAAACATTTACTAATATCAATCAATCTGAATTTATTGAACCAAAAACCACTCAGTTCAGAGGGGTGGACCGGTAAGCTGGGTCGACGTTTTGTCCACTTTCAGCGAACTAGCCAATGACGTGTTTCGACATCGCGACCACCTTCACAAACCGCCTACCGATCTGTTTCGGCATTCTTACCAAAAATACCCATCCACAATCGAGTCCACTCTATCGAAAACCACGTTGACCACATCCGTGAAAAATCCTATTCACAATGAAAAAATTTGAAAAACTACTGCAAGGTTGAGCTGAGAATCAGAAATCGATGTCAATAAACGAGATATCAACAAATGAAAAAAATTACTAATATCAATCAATCTGAATTTCTTGAACCAAGAACCACTCAGTACAAAGAGGTGGACAGGTAAGCTGTGTTGACGTTTTGTCCACTTTCACAAACCGCCTACCGATCTGTTTCGGCATTCTTACCAAAAATGCCCATCCACAGTCGAGTCCACCCTATTGAGAAACACCACGTTGATCACATCCGTGAAAAATGTTATTCATAATGCGAAAATTTAAAAAAACACTGCAAGGTTGAGCTGAAAATCAAAAACCGTTGTCAATAAACGAGATATCATCAACAAATGAAAAAATTTACTGATATCAATCAATCTGAATTTCTTGAACCAAGAACCACTATGTACAGAGGGGTGGACCGGTAAGCTGTGTCGACGTTTTGTCAACTTTCAACGAACTATCCAATGACGTGTTTCGACATCGCGACCATTTTCACAAACCGCCTACCGTTCGGTTTCAGCATTCTCACCAAAAATACCCATCCACAATCGACTCCACTCTATCGGAACACCACGTTGACCACATCCTTGAAAAATTCTATTCACAATGAAAAAATTTGAAAAACTACTGCAAGGTTGAGCTGAGAATCAGAAATCGATGTCAATAAACGAGATATCATCAACAAATGAAAAAAAATTACTAATATCAATCAATCTAAATTTCTTGAACCAAGAACCACTCAGTACAAAGAGGTGGACAGGTAAGCTGTGTTGACGTTTTGTCCACTTTCACAAACCGCCTACCGATCTGTTTCGGCATTCTTACCAAAAATGCCCATCCACAGTCGAGTCCACCCTATTGAGAAACACCACGTTGATCACATCCGTGAAAAATGTTATTCATAATGCAAAAAATTTAAAAAACACTGCAAGGTTGAGCTGAAAATCAAAAACCGTTGTCAATAAACGAGATATCATCAACAAATGAAAAAATTTACTGATATCAATCAATCTGAATTTCTTGAACCAAGAACTACTCAATACCGAGGGGTGGACCGGTAAGCTGTGTCGACGTTTTGTCAACGAACTATCCAATGACGTGTTTCGACATCGCGACCATTTTCACAAACCGCTCGGTTTCAGCATTCTTACCAAAAATACCCATCCACAATCGACTCCACTCTATCGAAACACCACGTTGACCACATCCTTGACCGTATTGCTGACCTCGCTGATGCACCGAGCGTTCTCCGAGGTGTTCCTGGACCCGGCCGCCCGCAGCTGTCGCGCCTGCCCTTCCAGCCGTGTGAGCAGTTCGCGGAAGTGGAACTTGGTGTGGGCGGGTGCCACGTGATCCGCGTAGTCCATGCACGAGCCGTGCAACAGACCGATCTTGTCGCTGAGCTGCAGCCAGGCGGAGGTCGACGAGGCGGCGTTGGATTTGATGCCGTTCAAGGTCGACTCGAGCGCCTGCAATGAGGTTGTACACACTAGAGTTCCTAAATGTACAGGGTGGGCCAAATTGGACACTTTCATGGGAAAAGTCCTATTTCCAAACTAGATGGACGAAAACTGATGTCGGTGTCTGATGGTCAATTTTTATGACAAACTCGACAGTGTAAACCGCACATCTATCATCGTTTCTGAGTTACAGCATGTTTTCCGAAAATGTGCATTTTCGAAAACTTGCTGTAACTTTTTTCCTGTCGAAAATTTGTTGTTTCTATAAAAACATTTCCAAGGCACTTTCTCATGTAGGATTCAATTGTATATTTTTTTCAAATGAGACACCCTGAATATTTCTGCATATTTCGATAGAGCTTTAAATTACTATTCCAAAAATATTGCACACTCGGTATTTTACTGAAGTCATCTTTGAAATGCAGAGCTTTTTTGGTTTTCACATCTAAACTTTGAAACGCACATCTTGAACAAGGAGGCTTTGGACGACGCGGTGATAAAACAGAAATCGAATGTTGACTGTGCTGTCAAATTATGATCAAAGTAATATTAGAGCAGTAAAGACGCTCCTCAATTCGTGGTTTTCGTTCTATTCACAAACACATTTTCAATGAATTTTGAAAATTATGAAAAATGGGATATGATAGTCTGTTTTATATAAACTGGGAAAAATACAGAAGCAGCAAGCGATTTGTACCACGAGAGGTATCCAGAGATCGAGAAGACAATCATTTAGAGATATTTATGCGGATCCAATATGTCGAACGAATTTTGTAATGGTGGGAAAGAATTCTATTGCTAAAATTCATTAAAAAACTTGCATTATCTTTAAAATTGACTAATATCATGAATTATACCGGGCATACTATCAGAAGAACCTCGGCAAGTGTGTTTGCGAATTCTGGAGGAGACATTCTTGCTTGGAAGTCTACGAATATCGCTGAAGGGTATGTGCAGCAATCTCTCACAAAATAGCAAAAAATTTCGAACCAAATGGTGGGTCACTGAAGTTGATGAAATTGATTGTAATCAGCCAAGTACGAATTCTGTATAATTTTTTTTTTATGAAAATATCACGAAAACTGCATTGGCTCCAGATCTTACTTCTAGTGGTATTCAAATAACCACTGCTCAAAACTGCACTTTCAATATTACTTCATATAATTATCACTCTACCACAAATTGAAAATATCTAGGATGCAAGAGTGAAAATAACGTGCCTATAAGTTATACTGTATACCTACTTCTTTGTTACTTTCATCAATAAATTATTTGAAAATGAATTTTTATTCAAGGGAGACGGAAAAATCATATATATAACATGGGGGTAAAGTATATTCTATTCATTATTTCCCTGCACATTTTACGTATCACTTTTTATCAGCCTATTTTTCGTCATAGACGAAGTTTTATACAAATTCTTCTCGGAGTTGGATATCCGAAAATATATTTAGCACACATGATATGAGTACAGTAGATCAGATACCCACATCGAGGTTTTCACCATTTCTCAATCATAAGGCTTAGCTCATAGATAAACTACTGCTCAGCTTGAAATCAGAATTCATTCAGTCAACCCTGGTATACAGTCAAAGAACAGTCTCTTTTGGTGAAATATATGGAGCTTTTAGTACAATTTATATGTTCCCTACCCCGCAAAGATTATGCTGGAGCAGTAAACTCCAAAACTAGAGGATTGTTCATCTATATCTTGGTATAGTTGAATCAGGAATTCCATATGGAAATTACGTATGATACGCCAATGACCTCAATATAACCAAAAAAACAACAAATGTCAAAAATCTAGTGTTTATCCCCAGAATTGAATAAGGATGGAACTATACAACTGCCTCATAAACACTTTAGAGTGAGAGGAGACGAGGATCTGTCCGTACCCTGTTGAGATGACGAATACGTCAGTTTGCATCAAGGGACCCTATAAAACCCTACCTGCGATATCTCCAAGATGTTCTCTTTGCCGCCCTTGAGCTCCTCGGGCGTTCTCGCCTCGACGCTGGGCTTGGCCATTATGGGCGGTTTCGCGTTGGTGGGCGTGGCGTAGATCGCGGACGCCCGACCCACCGGTTTCAGCGCCTTGACGGGCGGCTTCGTCGGTATCAGCGGCTTCTCTTCGTGCCACGATTTCTTCTCGCTCCTCCTCTCCAGCTTCACCGACTCGTCCGAGGTATCAACAGGCGAGACTTCGTCTTCGTTTTTGGCATTTTTGATCGACAGCTTCGGACTGAGTTGCGCGTTCGGGCAGCCGTCGAAACTGTCTTTCGGTTCCCACAGTTTCTTCAAGCTGCTGATGCTGCCAGTGCTTTTTCGCTTGTCGTCGCAATCGTCGATTCTGTGATTCCCGCTGTCAGAGCTGGCGGTGCTCTCTCGCTTGTTGCTGGTGTCGCTTTCGTGGTCGTCCACTTTTCGCAGTCTCGATTTGAAGTCGATGATCATCGAGCTATCGCTTTCTGGCTTGTCTTTGGCAATCGGTTTTTTCGGGTCGACTTTCTTGAGCTGGGAGACAAAGGTGACGCCGTTGTCTGTTTGTTTCGTTGCGATGCTACCTTGAGAATTTTTTCGCGCTACGTCTTTTTCTAGGTTGAGGGATTGAGATAGTTCTGTCACTAACTGGGTTAGGGGGTCGTGGCTGATGCCACTCACAGCCACGTAGGGTTCGACGGGAGATTCTTTGAGATTTTTGCTTTTGAGGTTTTGGCTTTCTTTTATTTCGGCGACCAGTTTGAGTTCCATTTCTTTCATCACCAACTTGTTTTTGAACACTTTGGAGGTTTTATTGTCTTCTGGCGAGCCGATTTCAGCATCTGGAATGACAATATTGAGATGTTCATTTTTAAAAGATCTCAATTAGGATAGAGAGGTTTGAATGAATGATATTACAAGGTGCGGTAATAAAAATTCTGGGTGGCATAAGAAAATTGAAAAATGTTAGTGTCACCTTCCATCTCCTTCATAGTAATCTTCTGCGTGAGATGGGGTTTCCAGATAGCAGAGGGAAGGTGTTGAAATATGTGATTGAATATTGCTTTTCCGGCAAATACATAATTTTATTATTCACACCTCTTTCACGAAAATGCAATTCAAAAAATTCGTTTATTTTGCAGAAAAGGCCTCAAACACTCACCCCGTTAAATATCCTGGTTAACTGACAAAAGAAAGATACCATCAGGGTAGAAACCAGAATTATAAGACATTCAAAAACCGAGTTCTACATATGAAATGTCAAAAATAATCTACTTTGCTCTACTCTACCTTCTACCTCCAACTGGTAACAAATATTATTATATATGATTATTATAATTATAGTGAAGAAAAGAACTACCAGGACAGGATGAGAAGAGGAAATTAAACTAGGAGTTGTTCTCAGTGCAAATCATGGTATTCCAAATATAGAACTCGATAATGATATTGTCAAATTCAAAAAGGCTGAAAGTGTTAATTTTCTGTGAATGAGTTGTCTGAGGCTTATAGAGAAAACAAACAAATCATTTTGTTGGAAGTGTTATGTGTTGATGTATGTGATAAATATCAATATGTGTAGAATATTCCCAAGATCAGTATCATGTTGACTCATAATTTTTTAATGTCAACGTGCGTGCCAATATAACTCACTAATGAGATTCTTTGAACATTCACGCGCGAGCTTTATTTTTTAGTTTATCTTTATGATTCAAATTTATCATTCTGATCATGGAAAGTAATTGAATAATTCTATGACAATATATTAATTATTGCGACAAGATTGTGAGCGTGCAGAGAAAATAAATAATTCTCATAGTTCGCAATTTTTCATGAAATTGAAGCAATTTTTAATGCGCGCATGCCCAATAGTGTCATTTTGGACAGCTGTGATAGTGATGAAATGGTGGATTCTCGGTATTTCATGCATTATTTAGGCATCATTGGATGCTAATCGAATGTTATTGCTCTCATGGTTTCTACTTCAAAACTCAAAACTTGATAAGAAGCCAAACACAGATTTTTTGACAAAAAAAAAGGCAAGTCGGTCATTCCGTTTCGGTGTGAAATAGCCTGCAATTATTTATTGAATGGACTTTATATTTCAAAATCATTATAACAATTGTATTAATAATAAATAAATATGAATTTCAGACTGTTTGAATCCCCATGAATCACTTGCTGTTCATCAAACAATGTTCAATAACATACAAGTCCACTGATTGAAAAAAATACTGATTTGAAAAATTTGCTCAATTACTGTGACTCATGAGAAACAATTAAGTAGTTTCCATGCAATCAAATCAGTCCTTGTGGATTTGTGGAGTTTGATGGAAGTTGATTTCTGTTGTATCGCTAAAACACAAAGATTTTAAGAAATTTTGGAATTCTTCTTGGTAACTACTAATAGTACCCGAAGACATCTCCACAATATTCCCACGTAAGCATAATACTTTTTATTAGTCCAAAATGTTTTGTACCATTCACTATCTCCAGGATATGTAGACATAATAGATAAGGCTAAGGATGGACATATACAGTATGATGCAAATGTATGGAATAAATTCATTTCAAAACAAGACGACTTTCGAAAGAAAAACAAAAACTAGAGTTTAGAACTTTTTTTCGACGTATTTTTTTAACTAGACGACCCTTCGATGTTCAATTCTCAGTAGCAGACCTCTGCAAGATTCAATTAATCACATGATAATCCATTTTAATTTCAATCTTCTTATGCAACATTTTGACTGTTGAATAGACGATCGGTAGACCTTTCAATCAAGGTTTCACATGACCCCTATTTGTATTTGAAAAAATCGTCCATTACGTCTGTACTCCAACACCGGTGACGTAACATCTCTCATATGAATATCATGAGATGAGGCTTCAGAAATTAAAACTCACGTGTTTTTGGAATTTTTTCAAATGTCGCCCATTTCTGAAATAATAAATTTATTCCATACATTTGCATCATACTGTATATGTCCGAAACATGTACCAAGTAATTTGATTTGATCATATTGAAATGTCGTGGAGATGACTTCGAGTATTATTAGTAGTCACTTTTTCACTCCTCTTTGAGAAACCATGGACTTCTACCAAAGATGTTTATTATACGGACCTTGGAATGTTACAATATTCGTCAACTGCCACAAAGTATCCATTTGCGACCGCAAACGTCTATTTTGCGTCCGATTCGACCCTATTCTACCCCTCACCGTTTCCCAGCGCATCCACAGCAGAGGGCGGCGTCGGCTCAGAGGGCGACCCGATCTGCTGCCCGACGGTCCGCCCATCCGTCTCCGGACTGCCACCGGGACTGGCAAGGCCGAGGCTGGCGCGCCTCGGGCTCCTCTCTTTGGCCTCCTCGCCTTGGGCCTCCCTCTTCTTGAGGCTGACTCCGAAGCGCGAGCTGGCCTCCTCGACGGAGGGCTGCAACGTGCTGACGTCGGCGCTCTCGGGCGGGTCGGGGTCTCTCGCCGGGGCGGGTGTTAGCTTGGGAGAGAGCAGAGTTCCTTAACACGTTCGCTACCAGGCGTCACATACAGTGTGTGCGATTTCAACTCGCAACACCCTTTTAATTGAATAAATACAAAAAGCTCAGTCATTTCCACACAGTGTTCATAAAATGAACAGCAATGGTAGATTTCGGGAGAAAAACAACTACTTTCCAGAACATTGAATTACATCCTTCCAAAATCTATGCATCGACTCGTATAAACGAATACTGATACAAGTGATTCTTTCCTGAATGCCTATTGATTTCGATTTAGCCAGGCCACGCTAGACAACCACAGACCTGTTTCGAGGTCTTTGACTGTCATCAGTGCATTGTAGTCTCCAGCCAGTAGTCCTAAGACCGCCGACTCAGCGAAGCCTAACCAAACAAAAATCAAGTCGGCATTATATTACCTCCGAGGCGTCTTTCATCGACAATATGAAACGCCAATTGAGTAGAACATTTAACATTTCATTCCACTTTGAGCATTGTGGCTATTTCGTAGTTGGAATAGAATGTTTGTTTTTTTCATAACATTCCTACATGACGGTTCAGATTTCTCTCCTCTGAATCATTCATTATTCATTGGTGGTGAATTGTAAACTTTCAAAAGAGAAAAATAATGTTTTTCATGTTTTCTCACCACTTTTTTCGTCGTGAGAGGAGAGATGGGGATGATCCGCTTCCTCAACTCCTGCGAGGACGTCATGATCGAGGTGGTGCAGTCCACTTGGTCCACCCCCGAGTTGTCGAATTCCTCCGGAGGTGGGGGCAGATCGGTGGGCGGCGGTGGGAATTCCAAGTCGGCCAGGGAGGGAGGAACAGACCTACGAAAGACAAAACGCGTACTTCCCAAATGTTATTGATATCCTAATGAGGCACATTCCTCCCCACTCGAATCAGTCCTACCGACTGCGCCACAGCCCTCGTAAAAAAAGCCGTGGTGAACCAGTATTGGATACACGGTATATACAGGGTGTAACTAAATGAGTGTAAAACATTTGAGCTGGTGATTCCTCATCGAAAAAAAGATAGAATCTTTCAATGGAGCATCCCATTTTGAACATACAATTTGTTTAACAAATGTTTTCACAAGCACTAAAAATGTTACAGTATTGAATTTGACCTGACAATTTCTACTACCAAAAAGACACTTAGCCAGTAATTCATTTGGTTTATCCCATGGTTTAATCCCTTTAATCACTTAACGCAGGTAGTAACTACAAAATTACGATAAATCCAGTTTACATTTATGACGATAACTGTAGTTGATCGTGAAATTATTTTTTGCTGCCAACTGGTTTATTTTGGGCAAAAAATTCAGGGAATATTTTTTGTTTAGAATGAAACAGGCTATCGGAAATAAATTTTTAAATAGTAAACAAATAATAAGACAAAAAGTTACATTGGAAATAAAATTTAGGGGTTGCGTTTTCCACCCCTTACCAGCATGGGGTAAACTAGAGTCCCTTGATGGATATTGACGTTAAAGTCATCTTAACAGGGTACGGACAGATCATCGTCTCCTCTCACTCTAAAGTGTTTGTGAAACAGCTATATAGTTCCATCCTTATTCAATTCTGGGGATAAACACTAGATTTTTGACATTCATTGTTTTTTAGGTTATATTTAGGTTATATTGAGGTCACTGGCGTATCATACGCGAGTTCCATATGGAATTCCTGATTCAACTATACCAAAGAGATGAACAATCCTCTAGTTTTAGAGTTTACTACTCCAGCATAATCTTGCGAGGTAGGGAACATATAAATTTTACTGAAAGCTTAATATATTTCACCAAGAGAGACTGTTCTTAGACTGTATACCAGGGTTGACTGAATTGACTGGAATTCTGATATCAAGCAGAGCAGTAGTTTATCTATGAGCTGAATGAGCTGAGAAATGGTGAAAACCTCGATGTGAGTATCTAAACTACTATACTCATGTAATGTGTGCTAAATATATTTTCGGAAATCCAACTCGACGTGACTAATATGTGTAAAACTTCGCCTAGGACGAAAAGTAGGCTGATAAAAAGTAATACGTAAAATGTGCAGGATGATAAAGAATAGAATATACTTTACCCTCTTGTTATACATATTATTCTTCCGTCTCCCTTAAATAAAATGTCATTTTCAAATAACTTTTGGAAGAAAGTAACAAAAAGTAGGTATACGCAGTATAACTTATAGGCACAATATTTTCACTCTTGCATCCTACATATCTTCTATTTGTGTTAGAGTAATAATTATATAAACTAATGTCTTTCGCCATATTGGATCCGTCATCTTGAATTTTCCAATTTTGACGAAACAATCATTATCTCCTACCCCGAAAACCACCAGACACCATCAGTTTTGAATAGAATCGGATCTTCATTACAAAACTCGTTCACCATATTGGATCCGCTATCTTGAATATTTCAATTTTGACGAAATAATCATAATCTCCGCCCCCATGGGCCCTTTTTGCCAATCATAATTACAAAACTCGTCAGCCATATTGAATCCACCATCTTCAATTTCCTAATTTTGATGAAGGATCCATGAACTCCGATACCGAAAAACCCCCAGATACCAATCTTTGATAGAATCAGACCATAATTACAAAACTCGTTCGCCATATGATCTTCCTCAACAAGTAAATACCCTGTACATACCTATTATTAAAATTTTGAATGATTTTCTGTAGCGCCCATGGATTTGACGTGGCAGCAATGTCAGGGATGCCAGTTGACAAAACTAAAGTCTCTAGATCATTAAAAAAGAATGCAGCTATGATCTGTCCGTACCCTGTTAAGATGATAACGTCAATTTCCATCAAGGGACCCTAGGGTAAACCAAATAAATTACTGGCTGAGTGTCTTTTTGGTAGTTGGAAATGTCAAGTTGATTTCAATACTATAACTTCTTTAGTGCTTGTGAAAAGAATTGTTGAAAAAATTTTATGTACCCCCTTCAAGGGGCTGTAACTTAACATGGGATGCTCCGATGAAGTTTCTTTATATGAAAGATCTCATCTCTTTTTCGATGAGGAATCACCCCCTCGAATGTTTTACACTTATTTAGTTACACCCTGTATATGGCGAATGCAATGAAGTGTAGTTGCTAGTTTTCAAAAGTGAATTGATGTTTTATTGATATGAAATATTGTCCAAAGAAGTGAACAGTGTGAGGCATAATCTAGTGACCGAGAATATAGTATTTTGAATTGAGGTTATGTTCGATGTTTCGTTATTTTTGGAAGTAGAGTAAATAAATGTCAATGTTTCTCATAATAAAATACCGAATGGTTGTTGTCTGACAGAGATTGGGTGTCAAATTACGCTTTGGAAAGGAAATATGTATACATTTTTACATTTTCTAAAGATGAAGCACTGCAATATCTAGTTAAAATTGTACTCCATCTCAAAAATTCTTTTATACATATATTTAGATGACACATTTTCTCTTGCAGATGGATAAATTCGAAACATTTTGCTAACGAAGGTACCTTCAGTTAGTTGAAACTGCAGTTTACTGAATTTTTCCTTCACAAATTTATACCTCTGTAAAACCTGTTACATCATTGAGATCTAGATGCAAGAAATCAGAAATGTTAACCTTATTCCCAATCACAAGTATTCAGTTGAGGAATATGCAGAAAAACAGAAAGTTGATGGTTGAAAAATCTATTTATATGTAGTAAAATTTATTAGAGATATTATAATCTGATGCAGTGAAAATAACTACCTAAGTTGTAATATTGAATGAGATGCAGGTCCAAATCTTACTAGGTGAGTTGATTCTTCCTTATGATATGAAATTGAGTAGGTGGTCAAAACTTGATAATATAGATTAAATCTAGCGATTCGTGAACTTGAATGGTCGGTGGCAGTTGTTTATTATATCTAGGCAACTGAATAAAACCCGACCTGTGACCTGACTCAATATTCCTTGCTATATTTTATTGAGGTTCAATTATTTTAAAACCAGAAATGGGAAAGACCACTGATTTTTAACGACATCATCGTGAACTCTATACCAACAAACCACTAGTAGATATATTTTATATTGTTTAATTCATACTAGGATAGAAAAATTAATTGAAATATGTTCACTGCAAAACACACACTTCCAGCGCCATTGGAAATGGCGTCAATTCATTGGTGTGACGTATTAGTCCCAACACGCATATTGTCCTTGAGCTGACCTATCACAATTCAACACAGCAGAATAGCATGCTATCAATTCGGAACTACTACGTCACGGCTACACCTTCATATCTCTGGCTTTTTGAAATATCAAATGGAATATGCTGATTTGAAAACGCTATAGATTCGATTCCCTTTAAATATAACTTATAATATTTATTGTACATTGAATATAAATCATGATTGATCGATTGAAAGAGGTCTCAGTGGTCTTCCCCATTGACGTAATGTACCTATGTTTGCCTATGTTGCCCGTCAAGAGTAGGACTTTCGGATCACGGTAATGCGGTGTTGCCTTCCTCTCACCCAAACTTGTATTTGAGATGCTCGTGACTGCACCAAATATCGTTACCCGATAAATCTGCACTCACCTCGATGGACTACCGCCACGAAAACTGCTATTCTGCGACACCTTGAAGCTCCGCAAGCTGCTCCTGACGTCCGCGCTGTTATTCCTGCTGATGTTCCTGTTCCTGTTCATCTTGCTCGATGTAGGCGAACTCGGCGGATGCGTAGCATGGAAAGTCGTCACCCCGCTAGATGAGTTGCTGCGTATCATCTGCGGCTGCGTCCTGATGTTGGTGCGCGGCGAGAGAGACCGCGGCGTTGATTCCGCTGGCTCTGCGGCGGGATTGGCTGCCTGGACGGCCTCCTCGTTGCCGGACATGTTGTTCTGGCGCAGCGATTCCAAGTAGGCGCCTATCCTGGCGCCTTTCGGCAGAGTGCCGTATCTGCTGATGGCTTTCCGGACGTTCTGCACCTCCAGAGCGGCAACGTGAACCTTGGTTTTGGAGAGAAATGGTGGAGTTGATTTTTGGTCTGGTGTGGTTGCAACTGCTACAGTTCATAAGTCTTAAGTTTGATAAAGAAGAATCCACTACTACTATTACTACTACCATCGTCAGTATGCATACCAAGAACGTTCGTTCGTTGACGAATATCGTGCATATTATTTTCCAGATCCCTTGTTATATTTTTGTGCATTTGTTATTATTTCTTGTTATGGACCCTTAGTGATCAACATCTAAGGTTTATTCAATAGCGAATTCCATTGGCAATAACTGGTGGAGTGTTTCTCCACTGAGTGTATATTTACCTCTGTTAAACACATGAAAGTAAGAAGGAGACATATACATTGAATGCAGACACACTCCACCAGTTCCTGCCAATGAAATTCGCTATTAGATTGGGTAGCATTTGACAGTTGTCATTATTCAGGTGAATTCAACAGGTGTCACGAATTATTTCATGTAGTGACGATACGAGAGGTCGCTTGTGATACCGTAGCAGGTTTGAATAATCATATAATATCACTGTTATAGTGGATGTCTATCGATCACCTGCTTGTACAATCTACCTTTCATTATTGTGGACTAGTAGAGTATTTGTGATTTGTCATACAAAGGAAGATGTCCCATATTGGGGATTGGAGTTGTCATATGCCGCCATTTTGAACCCTCCAGGCGCAGAGGTATGTACCGTATGTTTGAGATCTCGGCAATGTTTAATTCTGCATTTTCATAGGGTTAACTCCTACCCCTTTTGGGTTAATTCTACAATTCGCAACGTCGAGCTAGAACGTCGTACATCTGACTATGATCTATAGATCAGGCTGAGGATACTCCACTAGTTCGTTAGAGGCTATGTTTATCCAATCCTGAAACGAAACACGAGTGGCTTCCTCATCAATACCATAGTCAATAGTCAGGATAGGATGTTCCAAGACTGGTTACAGAAAGGAACATTATACACTATACTACATACATATGTTTATATTAATCTGATAATGCCATTTTCACACACTAACGTTTTCGGGTTCAAATTGGCATAAAGCTTTTCAATCTAAATATTGTTATACATATACAATTATATTTATGAAACCTTTATATAGAGTGTTGAGATGGTAATAAGAGACACTGATCTCTTGTCAATTGATATATATTTTTCGAAATCACTTTTTTTCTCAGCCCCGATCTGAATTTTGTCATAAATATACAATCATATATATCAAACCTCAAGTGAGAGAGAGAGAAATATACTTTTTCTGCAACCGACACAAAAGTCGTCCATTTTGATACCAAAATTAGCTCTTAAATTGACGTTTCTATTACTGACACAAAAATAGGTAGGTTGCTAGGCAACATATTTAGTTCCTAGGAGCTGAAGTTGAATTTTAGTTGCTAGGAGCTAAAGTTGAAATTTAGCTCCTAGGAACTAAAAAGGAAGTACTGGACGTCATAACAACATTGTGACGATTGGTTATTTGGGTTGAGACGCATACCTGATTTGTTTCCGATTTCATCAGATTTGAAATTTCATACCCATGCTGGAGATATAAATACACCTTATTATAGTTTAGTATTGGAATTATAAACATCTCAGCTAAGTATTTTTGTTTGATCAGGGAAGCCTTCAAGATTCAAATACTTGCTTGATCTGTATTACATTCGTTATTCTCGGGATGGATAACTTGTTTTTGAATAATCACGGCAAGCAATAGTTTTTGTCTCAAACAACGATATTGTTTAGCTTCATTTGATTATTAAGTGAAAAACATTGTATCATAGAGAGGAGTAAATAATCGCCATTATCATTGTTGATATGCTCATTAACCTAACATTTTCCACGTCTTGACCGTCTTGTTCCTATAGCTGGCGCGGTATTTGCTATTAGAGCACCTGGTCCATACACCAATATGTCACTCTGTGATTGTACTTATATTGAAACTACAATTCGAACATCCTTGAAAATTGAATGAACCTGCTGTTGATGCAGGTAGAATGTTCTCACTACACAGATTATTTGTCAATATTTGTTGCATTGCATACATATGGCACGGCATTGGTGGTAACTTCACATATTTATTTGAGTTAATTGTTTCGGTTGCAGAAAAAATAGCATGTTTCATTCGGATCAAAAGTGACTTTGTTCGACTCGCAAATTTTGCTTTCGCTCGGCTTCGCTAAACGCTCGGCTTCGCTAAACGCTCCGCCTCGCAAATGCAAAATTCGCTTGTCAAACAAAGTGTCACTTTTGATCCTAATAAAACAATCTACTATAATTGTCGAATGAAAGTAATTTCTTATTGACAAAGCTCGTACAAGATATAGTCCATATTACTTTTAAATGAGGAAAAATGAAAAATTAAAACACAAATACACAGAAACACACAATTTGAAACAAGTTCACACGTCATATATAAAATATAAAATATTGCAATCTAAAAAAGATGTCAACATGTAGATTTGCAAAGTTTGTTGAAAAAAAAATAACAGTTTTATAATCATTTGCAGATTGTAAAAACACAAATATACAGAATCACAATTTAAACATAAGTTCACAAGTCATTATATATATTTATATAGAGGGTTGGGCTGGTACTCTTGCCTATGATATATATTTTTTAGGAACACTTCCATTTGTCAACGACATCGGAAGATCTTTGGTTTCGTGCTTGCCAGGGATTTTGTGTGATTTTATTGAATAGAGGTTTGTGCATTCATTGACAAAGTTTTCGTATTTCTCCGACCTTTCCTATACTCGAGAGATTTGTGTAGTCTTCATACCACACCACACCAATAATTCATTTTCTACATTGTTACAATCACTTGGAATTCTCCATCAATATCAGGAGCAGCCCGCGAGTTGGACTGGCTCTTACACAATATATTTTCTTGGTCCCAACCCATAGCATCTGATTGAGTTAGTCGGTGGCTGCTGTGCTTTCCGTTGCATTCCAGTGATTCAGTAGTTTCATTCAGAAACACCGTAGCACAATGTGGGCTAATATATTTTGATTGCCATCAGATCATGCTACTAAAACGTGATGTCAACATTGGATGAACTGGTAGGTTTACTTCTTCTTTTCGTTTCATTTAGCCTGTTCCTAAGATATCTTCTTCCACTTCAAAGTAAAAATCGCTCGAAAAGTTCCACAATGAGTGTAAAAAACGCAAGACTGATCAAAACTTACCATAACTTGAGCTTTTCTATTTTTTTATTTGTTCAGTAACTATTTGGAAAAACATGCCTCAACCTCTACGGCTATCCGACAAAATTTTGAGACTTTTGACAAAGACCTCACGCTCTAGTATCGCCAAATGTTAGTCCTCATTAGCGAAGAGATAGAAAAAAACAATTATCAACTTGCAATTATCAATTATGAGTTGAACTTCCTCCGAAACATTCTGCACCTCTAGAGCGGCAACGTGAACCTTATTTTTTAGAGAAATGGTGGAGTTGAAAATGATTTTTGATCTGGTGAAGTTTCAACTAGCGAAAATCACAATAATTTAGTTGAATAACACCCCTGCTCAAGCTAAAAGAAACAACCTCATACTTACCGTCGAAATACCAATTTGGGGTTTGAATGGTGAACTCTGTCACAATCCATGCAAACACTAAAAATCAATTGAAACACAAAAAGTCCTAAAATGATAGGTAACAAACACAGCACAACAACACTGTAACGTGGTCTTTTCACATAAGTGAAGAACTTCAAGCAACATATGCGTCTTTCATAGTGAACACGCCACCACAGCGTTGCCACAGTTATTTCCATAATACATTATAATTCTATTCAATGATGAAATTAAGAAAGTTTTTATCATTTCAATAGAAGAATAAATATACATGAAAAATGTATATTATATAATTAAAGGATCAGTGTTGGGTCCAATTCTGTATCTTTTATACATTCAGAATATTTCAAAAATAAATTTAATAGGAAACTATGCCATATATGCAGATGACACAGTACTTTTATTTGAAAACAAAAACCCTGTAATTTTAGAAAACAACATAAATGAGGATTTGAAAAAAATGGAAGAATGGCTATAGTCCAATCTTCTTTCCCTTAATTCTAATAAGACCCAATATATAATTTTCCATCAAAGAAATAAACAAAATATTGATTTGAATATTAGAATAAAAAATGAAAGATTGAAACAAACTGCCTATACCAAATACCTTGGTATTTGGATTGTTGAAAAGTTAACATGGAACAAGCATATTGGCATGCTCAAAGAAAAAATTTCCCCCATAGTTGGTGCCTTAAGAAGATGTCCAAAACTTCTCCCGAATATAGCAAATACGGTTACTCTCACATCCTTAGTGAAATGAACTATCTCATAAATATTTGGGGTTCATGTTCCAAAAATAATTTCAACAAAATATCTGTACTATATAAAAAAGCATTAAAAGTACTGTATCGTCTTCCATATGAGACCCCATCAAATCAACTTTATGAAGAAACAAATACATTTTCTTTGGAAGAGCACTATCTGATAAATACTCTCAAAATTTCTTTTGATATTATCAACAAACACCTAAAATCTAACTTCATATTGGTAAGGAATTCTCAAATCGATGAACATCATACTAGACAATATGACTTGTTTCATCTTGATGCTGCTCATTCTACACTTGAAAACGATGTTGGCAAGGGACACAATGTGAACAATTTCGTCTCCCCTCTTTCAATATGTCCATGGTATACAGGCTGATTTTAAAATAAGTGCATATATTTTAAACACTAAGAAAGCTTGAGGTATACTACCGAATAGCACTATTAAAAATATTATTTGGATCAAAATAGATTTGGGGCAAAATACCCTTTTTCCGCCCAGATTTCTACTTCTGTCACAACTATCGTTTGCGATCCGCAGTCGACCGTGATGAACGAAGCGACGTTGCCACTCTACATGAAAATTAGGAGATATTAAATAAAATGTATAATCGAGAAAATGTACATGGGAAAGAAGTTAACCCTGGTCTTGAATTTCAGAAAGATAATACAAAAACTTCAAAATGGACTCACCCAAGATTTCTACACATAAGCTTGAAAAGCGTATAACTCAACACCTCACGGTTGGAAGTTATTTTACTGAAAAATCCTTTAGACCCTTCCGAGGACCCTTCCTTCCACCTCCTTGCATCGCTACAATTTCGTGGTCTTCGAGGAGTCTCATGGGCCCCGCACAATAACGACCCGACATAAGAACCATATCATTCAGCTCAATGTTTGAGAAATGCATCGTCACATTCCAAGCAAATTGTCAGAAACAAAACTTTACATTCAGTGTTGTTCCTGGGTCTGATTTTTTCGTAATAGATTTTCTTGGAAAATGGTAACAGATTTGTATCAAAAGGTAATAGATCCTAAAAATCTGACATTTGACATTCTGAATGTCATTCTTGTAAAACCATATCGCACAAATTAGACAGAAATAGATTTTTTAGTAACAAAACATCATATTTTGGTGCTAACAGTAACAAAACATCATATTTTGGTGCTAACACCCAATAGTAATAGATCTATTACAAAAGTAATGACAAGGACCACACTGTTTACATTTACTAGTATCACGTTTTGACGTTTTCCAAAATAACATACATTCTCAGAACAACAAACTGCAAGAATTCAGATGACCATGAATTACTGATAGGCGACTTTTACGGACCAATCAGAAACAGCAAAGTAGTGCGTGCGTGGTTGCGATTCATCCTGATTGGGCACAGGTGATTGAGATTAATGTATTAGTGAGGAAGGATCATATCTTTAAATGAAACTAACATTTTCATAAAAAACTAATTTGGAAAAAAGATCTATTAGTTTAATTCGATGAAATGATACTCCTCACTATACACTAATCTCACAAATCCAATCAGCTGTGTCCAATCAGGATGAATCGCAACCACGCAGGCGCTACTTTGCTGTTTCTGATTGGTCCGTAGAGATCGCCTATTAGTAATTCATGGTCATCTGAATTCTTGCGTCCGAAACTGTCAGAAGAATGCGCAGTTTCACAGAACTGTATGATTTTTGGGTTCTGTGGACTTGTGCATGCTTCTGACGGTTTTGAATTGTTTATTCTCTGAACGCGAACAATCCTAGTTAGAACTGTCAAAGGTCACAGCAAAGAGGAAATCTATGGTCACAAATACTACTGTTCTGAGAAATGATGTTGACAGATCATATGATAATAGTTTTTTTGTGTGTTTGTAAAATAATTGTAAACGTAAAATAAAAAATAAAATAATTGGATGTTGTGTCGTGATAATCGTGATATGGTCGTGATTTTCAATGTGAGATTGCCAGGAAGGATATGTCGTCGTCGAGTCGTTTTCGATGGTTTAAGTGCGAATATGAACCAACAAGAACACAGGACGATATTAGTCTGGAATGGACTCGATATTAGTATTTGTTTGCTCTCGGGAGTTTTGCTGTTCGAGCAGGTATGAGAAAATCTACTAGGTGAGTCGATTTTCATCTTTGTGGAAGGAAGGGGGACGTTCTATCATTCCCCTCATGTTTCTATCCGTCTCTCGTGATCCATGGAGATAATCACCCCACAGTTCTCTCAGTGAACTTTAAAAAATAAGGCTCCTGTACATATTACATTCCTCAGATGAAGAATGTCCCTTTCTTCATCTGAGTTACATTCACCTCTATTAGTTTCCATAACCTATTTCAATTCATATTCATTCTGTGACAAATTTTTATCAGGATATTCGTCTCTGAAACAATCTGGCATCACTGTCTTGTTCTGACTTTAGTGAATGACGAATTGGAGAATCCCTGGGATTCCGCAGATTTCACTTGCTTCCCAGTGGCGTACTCGAATTTCGAAGCATTTTATGTTCAATTTTCAAAATGAAGTTTCTCGTTAATGTGAAGACTTAGGAAAAATCTAATATTTTAGTAATTTTTGTTAGACTCCCTCATATATATGTCTTGAATATATGCACTCATTTTAAAATCAGCCTGTATACCCATATGTGTGCAAAGAGATAATTTGGTGCAAAGATTCGAAATGAAAACCCATAAAGAATTCGCGGATGCGCTGTTACTCACCGTCGGCGAATCTTTCGTCTTGCCCTTCTTCCCGCGCTGCTCCAGTCCCCTGTTGCCCATCACGGGCGCCCGCTTGAACGATCCCGCGCCCGGCCCGAAGCTGCTCACGGTCGACACTTCGGGGTACGAGTGCGCCCCCGAATCGTCCGTGTCGGGCGTCTGGTCTTGCAGGTCGCTCTCGCTGTCGCACTTCGTGCTGGCGGTGAGAGTCTGCAGCTCCCTCGTCAGGCCTAGAAATACTGCTTGATTTAGTAGTGAGATCGGTGCTGAAAATTTTGAAGGAAAATAAATTCACACCATATAAATTACAATTCGTAAAGCATTTGCATCCTTTGGATGCGGGACGTCGATTAATTTTTTGTATTTATTTATTTATTTATTTATTTAAAATCAAATAGGATAACGACAGACCCCAAGGTCCGGATTGTTATCCACAATTATTACATAGTTTAATGGTGTACATATAAATTAATAACCCAAAAACTAAAATTAATTAATTTGATAATGAAGTAAATAAGATTTTTTCTACAAGCGTGCGTGATTCACCCTATACCCGCACGCAATTTAGTTTGGGAAGTAGTGCGGGAAAACAAAGATATGATAAAATCGCAAGTAATATAAGTGGTTGGTGATGGAATATAAAAGTTTAAGTTTGTTTGTTGCAGTATTAAGTATGTATGTTCAGAATCATCAATCAAATTGCACTATTTATTGTGAAAATTGAGAAATATTGGGAAATTAAAATTAATTATTATAAAAATCCCCCTATATATTTGGATTGATCTGACGGGAAAAGTCAGTTTGTCATGCCAATCAAACCTCAAATAAGTTTGAAATTGTCGAAGTGACAGACACAGCGTTACTGTCATTTTCGATTCAGTGGAAATGCCACAATGTGATCAAAAACTTCTAGCTATAGGGATTTGATACAGATGCGTTATCACCAACGAAGTCTTGAGAAAGGTATGAGAAGCTATACACGCGTTTTATTGAATGGTGCAACAATAAAGAAATGAAAAAATCGAATGAAGAATAGGTATTTTTGGCTCATTTCATAGAAGTGTCTGAAACCTAGAGACCAAACTCCTAATGGGCCTGCTGTCTTCCGCAATGAACCAACATAATGCGTCGAACTGTAAGTTCACAATAGCTATTACTAATAATTAATAGATAGAGAATATATATCTCTTGTTAGTTGTTCCTATTTGCTTGAATAATTAATTGAACGATTAAAAATATTGTTCCTAACTCATGCGGAAAGTTTCTTTCCCGCACTCGACTGCTTGCCCGAACTCCGCTTCGCGTCGTTCGTGTCAACGGCAGTCACGTGCGGGAAAGAATCACTTTTCGCACTTGTTAGGAAAATTACTATATCATTGAAATGATTACAATTTGCTGAATATTCTATGCACTGCGAGAATTGTAAATGTATCTGATTTTTTTTGAAAACATTCAGTGAGGATTGAAAAATATCTACAGAAAACATTTTTCGATTGTACAGATTTTTCATTCTATGTAGTGGTGAATTTTCTCCTAAGTTTGTATGACAAAATGATACAGAAAATAAAGTATTGTTAGGTCTAAGAAAACGTGAAGGGACATGAATTGAGATTTTTGACAATAGATCTGGAGCATCAGATAAATTATTTAAAACTTTATACAAAAAGAATATATCAGATTGTTCTCGACGAGCCTCTAGTGAATAGAACTGAAACTGTTCCCTAAGTCTACATGTGCTTGCCAAGTGATTATAAGTACCATTAACCTTGTAGTACATAAATCTCAAAAATTTGTTTTGAATCAACTCTAATCTGTTCTTATGCACAGCATACTGAGGATTCCACACAACCGTTGCGTAATTAAGTCTGCTGTAGACATAAGAATAAAATAATTCTTTTAATGCTTGAATGGAATTGAAGTTTTTACTTTGTCTTAATATGAATCCTGAGGTTTTGTTACTTTTCGTTACAACATAGTCGATATTTGATGAGAATGTCATCTTTCTGTCGAAAACGACACCAAGATCTTTGATTTTATCCACTTTCTTCAAAATGGTGTTATTGAAATTATAATCGTATGAGAATATATCGATATTTTTAGTAAATGAGATGAAAAAACATTTGTTCAAATTGAGAAATATTTTATTTACGATACAATAATTATACAAGTGATCTAGGTCACGTTGAATTGAAAAGTTATCGACTGGACTTTTGACACATGCAAATATTTTCAAATCGTCCGCAAAAAGTAGAAATTTACAAGTTTCAAATGATGACGTTATGTCATTTAAATAAATCAGAAAAAGTAGGGGCCCTAAATGTGATCCTTGTGGCACACCTGAAGTGACAATATAAGAATTAGATCCATATCCATTAGCTATAACAATTTGTGACCGATTAAATATATATGAAGCAAACCAACGGAGCAGATCACCGTGTACACCAATCTCAGACAATTTTGACATCAATATGTTGGTATATGGAACGGATTCGAATGAATATTGATTTTTCCCAATCAGTAATATGGTCTGATGAATCATATTTTTCGAGTGCCGGCATCTTCAATCGCCAAAACACCAGACATCGGTCTCAAGAAAATCACCATGTTATATTAGAACGAGAACAGCAAGGACGGTTTGGCTTCAGCGTGGCTTGTTTCATTTTGGGTAGAAATATAGTATATCGGATTTATGACACTGCAAACCGTTACCTAGGAATTCTACGAGATGTTTTGCTACAGCTGCTGGACAATATCCCTCTGGCTCAGTTGAATAATATATATTTTCAACAAGACGGAGCCTGCCCACAATTCTCAAATAAAAAGACAATTTCAAGAAATTAATTTTCCCCAACGATGGATAGCCACTAATGGATCTATAAGATGGCCTCCAAGATCACCAGAGTTTTAGATTTCTCTTTATGGGGTTTTCTGAAAGACAAGATTTACATGTCTCAACATCGTTCTATGGAAGAACTAAGAGCAGCCACGCATTCTGCTTTCCGATATTTGCGGGGCCGTCCATTTATACTTCAAAATGCCTTCTTATAGCTTTATGATTTACTTATATACCCGCCAGGCAAGAATAATTTTCCTATAGTAAAAACTGTGTGAGTGAATATGCATATAGATTCACGAGTAGGTATTCAATGAAGAAAGGAAAAAAGCGTCGTTGCCCCACCTACTCGGGTATGTCACGTGTGGAAAACGGTAATCCCTTCAGCGAGCCGAGAAATTGAGTCGCTCGAAGGAGGAATTAGCGGGTTAGAAAGACATACTGCTTCATTAGTTGCACTAGGCCAGCTGGCAATTGAGCCATGACCATTACTATTTACACATGAGTACATAAGTCAAATGCGACAAAACTCAAAGTCATCTCCACAAATTTTATTGAATGATCAGAGATCAGTCAAGCAGGGACATATTTCGGATTCATCAGTCGATTACATGATTCATTATTCTAGAAAAACCGACAATGACTCAAGATATAGATACAATGATTACACACTCACAAGATGATTGTGTCATCTATATCTCAAGTCATTGTTGGTTTTTCTAGAATTATGAATCTTGTAATCGGCTGATGATGGGCTTATATAAGTAATAAATACCTATATATATAATTAGTGCATAGCTAAGTGGCAATAGCAGAGGTGTGTAAGTATTTATGTTCAAACAAACTCATAACAATTGAGCAATTTTTCTTCATACTACATACATCTGCTGGACTATGCTACGAAAGTATTAGCTTCATATCATGCAAACAGTGTATTAAAATTTGAGAAGCTTCTAAGTGAAGTTTCTTCTAAAGTATTACGAATCAAGTCTTAATTTTTTTTTGAAAATTATTGATCTATGCAAAGATTGATTTATGTGTCACTGTTTACTTCAACATTGATTCAAAATTCAGTCCAGACTAGTTTTCATGCATGCCATAACGCTTGTCAAAATTGAAAGTTTCTTCCCCTGCAACTCTCCCATAAATTAATTAACAATAAATAATCTATGACTCTAACTTCCCAGCGGTAAAAATCTATTTTGTGAAGATATTTCAAAATTTCAGAAAAGCCAGCAATTTGATATTGAAACATTCTAAAATACAAGGTGATATCAATAAAAATGAATAAAGATGAAAAACGTAGGGTGCTGAATTGTCTGGCACAGTTGAAACATTAAATCAATGAATGATATGAATAGATTAAGGAGAACAGTAGGTATTATGTGCTAAAGTCGTCAGTTTTGTGAATGACCTTTGACGATAATTTCGGTCAATCATTACCTCTCATGATAATGAATTGAAATGCAAACATTCTTGATGAATATCATGATGTATGAGTTTCATTGATGCCCTGTTGATAATGTTGATATTGATATTTGGGACAATCAAAGCATGAATGTTAGTATGCTATTACCATCTGTGAATAATCATTAGATGAATCTTGATACAAACATCGGTGAATTAACAATTATTATGAAATACAAAATCATTAGTAAATGAATTCGGTTAAGTACAGTAACCATGCTCCACTTCGAACCAATGAAACCCCATGCCCGAATCAATTTGTGAAAGATACCTTTAAGGGATTTTTTAATACCGTTTAAGTCAGCTCCATCGTCTGCTGTGATCTCGCCTTGTCCTTGGTCATCGAACGTGCTGTCCCGAAATGAGCTGCAAGAAGACAGCAGGCTGCAACCAGAAGTCAATGAATTGTTAACACAATGGTTAGTCAGTGAAGTTATTTTTTTTTTTTAGTATATATTATTGCAATCTATTTAGTATGGTATGTGATAGCAAAATAGTGATTCGGTTTATCCTTAGGTTGGCCTTGACGTTGAGAACCGAGAAAATTTTATTAAGGATAAACTTCATGATGAAATAGGGAAATGAAGAAATTGCAGATTCTTAGTCACCAAAATTTAGACTGATAAGACATAGCTCACATATGCACGAAATTGTTTTGTCAATAGATAAACCTAATTTTCGCAAAAGATGAACATTGTGGTTCTAAATAAAAACCTAGAAGTAGTTTATGACTGTTCCAAACCAGAGATAGAGAGTAGTTTTTCCAGACTGTTTGAACTTCTAACGAACCTACTACGTGCAGCGTATATTTTTGCTGGAGCTGCCACAATTTACTTCGGAAAGACTATATATAAATAAAAAATTATTTTATGTAAGAAGCAGAATATCCACGATGACCAGGAACCATTGTCGATAAGAGCAATTTTTGAATATTTTTTCCATTGTCCAGACAATATTATACCAATCCTAATAAGCGGTTCCTTAAAATATCAAACAAATCGGTCTATTCATAAGCAAGGACTCAACGAATCCAAAATTTTCCTGTTGTAGTGAAAGAAAATAGGGCAACGCCAAAGTATCAAGATATTTTGATTTCAAGTTCTTTTGCATCACAAACCTTGTACGTTTAGGTGGTGCGGGAGCAGGCATTCCCTTTTTATTTGTCGATCTCCTCATCTGGACCAAACTCTTATTGTGCCCACCAGTGAATGTTGATAATTTCGTAGAGGTAATATTGAGATTGTCTGAAAACAAATATGATGTACTTTTCATCCACTTACTTTTAAATTGATAGTTTTTACCCGTTAAAGCTTGATCAGTCACTACCAGTCCATGAATATTCCCGGTACTACCAGAGTGAGATTTCTTGAAAGACATGTGAGGCGTACCTAGAGGTACTGGTGATGATTCGTTTCCCTGCAGCTGCTTCTCAACCTCTGACAAAAATACATATTCAATTACTCAATTTTGTTTATTATGGTCAAGATAACTATCACGCAAATCTTTCTATAATCGAAATATATTTCAGTTTCTATAACCACTTATTTGATACATAGGAGTGGGTGATAATTTTTGTCGGTTACTCCACCGAAAAAATACATATAATTATGAAGATGATGGAAAGCCCTAATTTCGAGTGACAATGGACACGGCGCGGTGTAGTTTTTTCATTTTCCATTGTCACTCGAAACTAGGGCTTTCCATCATCTTCATTCATTATTTTAACCATTTGACTCCATCAGAGTGAAAATTGAATGATATCATAAATTTCGGAAATCAACTGAGGTCTATTGGGGTACTTAAGGTACATGAATGAACCCCAAATATCTTTAAAAAAAAACACGCGAGTTTTAGGACCTAACAGCGCAACGGGAAATCCGATTGGCCAAATATTAGCAATATTTTATTCGCCTCAGGGTCTCCACTACTACATTGGAGTATTTTAGATTTATGTAAATCAGTTGCCTAATAATTGAATGAAACTTATTATTTTTCATCAACTTCGACACCCTGTATCTCAAAGGTTAGGACGTTTACGACATACATCCTATGAAGTTTTTTTTCTTCAAATGGGTCCGACAATCTTCCCCTTGAATATTACCATGTCATTGAGGAATATATACCCTCTGTATCGCTAGCATTGTGTTCAATAAACATATTCAACATGAATTGCAAGTAATCTAATCAATTTTCTAAAAAAAGACGTAGAAAACTACAAGGACTCAATAGTTATTTCAAACGGCATCAAATGAGCATTTAATATTGCTTCAAATTGAATTCTATTATCAATACATCCCAAGAATTTGGTGGACGTCTTGTTTTCGATGACATGATTCTGAAGACTTAGGTTTCCAGAAGCGAATTTGAATGAGATCACGTTGGTCTTAATCACATTGAAACATGAAGAAATGGAATCACACCAAGATTTGACTCTCTCTAAATCAACTTCAATTATATTTTTCAAGGAGTTTCCGTGCCATAGTAGGGTTGTATCATCTGCAAACATTGTAAACTTTCCTTGTATGTCGGTATCAGATAGGTCATTCACATAGAGAAGGAACGAAATGGGACCAAGCACTGACCCTTATGAAACTCCACAAATAATTTTCGAGACACTAGAATTTTCATTCGGTAGCTTCACCATTTGACTCCTGTCTGATAAATACGTTTGGAACCACTTGAGGGTTGTTCCTTTGAAACAAAAGTGAATAATATTTGCAACAGCACTCTGTGATCAACGCAATCAAAGGCCTTGGAGAAGCCACAGAATACTGCTGCAGCCACTTTACCTATATTTAGCCCCACATATAACTCTTCCAGGAAGTCAAATATGGCATCATTTGTATTCTCGGAACTTTGAAAACCAAACTGTGAGCCACTCAGTATATTGTGCCTTTCCAGGAATGTGAGTAATCTCCTTTTTACAAGCTTCTCTATCACCTTTGACAAGGTTGATGTTAACGAAATCGTGAGAACAAAGGAAAATAAGGTAGGAATTGGTGTTCTTCTTGGGTTTCTGGAGGTTATATGCCTCAGGGAACACCTCCCTTGGCAATGTGTTCCAGAGCCTCGCTGTTCGTTGGATGAACAAGTATTTGGAAAGAGATGTTCTGCAGGTCTCCAAAGTGACCACAAAGGGGTGCGAAGCCTCAACTCGACGGGTAAATCTCGCGGGGACTGCCAAGGGGGGTACAATTTTTGATATTTCAGAAGGGCATCGTCCATGAAAATATCTATTCAATAGAGTCAGATCGCCAACTTTTCTACGGTGTTCCAGAGAAGTGAGTGAGTTCGTGAGCGAGGCGTCACCCACGAGACGAATTGCCCTTTTGTGGACAGAATCCAACAGTTTCAGGGTATGTTTGGGCACTGCACTACAAATATGGGAACAGTATTCCAGGACAGGTCGGATCTGTGCCTTACAGATCATAAGCAGCTGACTGGAAGTGAAATAGCTCCTGGCCCGAAACAGAAAACCAAGTTTTTGGGATGCACTTTTAGCAATTGATCTCACGTGATTTTTCCAAGAAAGGTTATTGCTGATCGTAATACCAAGCATCGAAATGGATGTCTTCAAAGGTATGGTTACTCCTGACAAGCTTATGTTGGGCACAGTGAGATCCGCTTTTCTAGAGAAAAGGCATGCTTCTGTTTTGGTTGCATTGAAATCTACCAAGTTATTGGATCCCGATTCGAGAATTGTTGCCAAGTCCATATTCATGTTGTCAACATTTCTCCCTCGTTCGTTTTTGATTGGTATGGAGGGTACTATCATCTGCGAAGCTGTGTACTGGACATGAAGTTGCTTTCAACAGATCGTTGATATGGAGTAGAAATAGTGTTGGTGCTAGAATTGATCCTTGCGGAACACCAGCATTTATGGTAAGAGAGTCAGATGAAACTCCGTCGACCACTACATGGAGAGACCTGTTCGAGAGAAAACTAGCTAGCAGAGAACATAGCTGGAGAGGTAAGCCATAAGATGGAAGTTTGGCAAGGTGTCCGTGGTGCCAGACTCGATCGAATGCTTTGGAGATATCAAGTGCCACGGCTAAGGTTTCACCATATTTTTCAATAGATTGCTGCCATATATGTGAAACGTAAGCGAGCAGGTCACCAGTTGATCTCTGATGACGGAAGCCATATTGCCCATCGTTGATAATGCCTGAATGTTCCAGGTATTTCATGAGCTCGATGTTGATAACTTTCTCCATGATCTTTGAAATAATAGATAGCAGTGCGATCGGTTTGTAGTTGTACTGGTTGTACTCTTGCAATTTTCCAGTTGGACGGGAATATCCCCAATTTGTAAGAGTTGTTGAACAACAGGTGTAAGTTCGGGAGCACATTTCTTGAGAACAATCGGTGGGATTCCGTCGGAGCCACAAGCTTTGTTGGTGTTGAGACCCAATAAAATCTTCCTTATAGTACGTTGGCGAAAGGTGATCTCGGGCATATGACTGTCAATTGGCGTTATGTTTGGAGGTTGTTTTCCCGATGAATCCAGAGTGGAATTTCCAGCAAATAAATGCGCAAAAGTGTTGGCTTTCTCCTGGGTAGTTGTGGCTAGTGTTCTAATCTAATACATATGGCAAAAGGAATTCGTGCGGTCTACTCACCCTCCGTCACGCTGGACTCCTGGAACATATTTTCGAGCGCGTGATGGATTCCTTCGAAGGTCGGCCGGTCGTTGGCGTGCCACTGCCAGCACTGGCGCATCAGCTCGTAGATTTTGGGTGGACAGCCTGGCGGGCACTCCATGCGGTAGCCCTTAATAATTCATTCATTTCATTTATTCATCTATATCAGTTATTGCATTACATTCTTCTCTTCATTGATAAATTTATACAAATAATATATAAAGTATAATTAATGTTCTAGTAGGAATGACATGAATAATCAGACAGTTATTCCCTGTATAAGATCATTCTTGAAGTATTATGGACTGTTTATTTATTTATTTAATAAACGGATTCACCTTTACAATAGAAATTAATTATATATAATCAAATGACATAAGGACAATAACATCACAGCATCAACAAATGAAATTCAACAATAAAATAAATTTAACTCTTTGTAAACAATACATCTTGTTGTTGAAACTATTTCCTATTTGCAGCCATTAGGTTGAAAAATTACATTATAACCAAAGAGAAAGAAAAAAAAAAGAGGGAAAAGTGAAAAAAAAAGTATGAACTAAATTAATGGGACTGATTAACCTAGGATCAATTTTACAAATTCTATTTTCAAATATGGCTAAAGACTGAACAATCGGGTCAATGTTAAATGCATTGAAATTACGCAAAATGCGGGAAAAAGAGCTGAGGAACCCATAGTTGGTTCTATGATTATTTATAACAAATAATTCTGTGTTTCTAGTAAAATATTAGGGAACATTGAAGTTAATCCTATTGAGAAGTTCATAGCAATCAATTTCACCTGAGATGATCTTAAGCATAGTATAACTACCTAGCCTGAATCGACGGACAGATAAATTAGTTAGGTTGAGGGTATCAAGAGTATCCGAATAGTTGAAATGATGGAAGTTCTGGCGAATCTAACTTGGGCTTGTTCAATTAGTGTGATATCACATATATAGTATGGTGACCAAATCATACAGCCATAGTCCAATAAGGAACGTACAAGGGAGCAGTACAAAATATACGATGTGTTGCATAAGAATTTTTTTGTATTACGTGATAGAAAACCTACCATTCCATTGGCGGATGCTGATACTTTCAGTATATGGCTCTTGAAGGTGAGACGTTCATCAATACTTTCAATGCATTTTTCTATAGAGCAGAAATTTTGTAGAAACTATTTTTGGAACAAGATCCCAAAATATTTATCAGATAGTTAATTCGACTGAGTATATGTGAATAGAGAATAATATTTGATCTATATTTACTGAGTTTAGGACATCTTCTTGAAGCACCAAAAATGGGAGATACTTTTCCAATGAGGATGTCAATATGCTTTTCCCATGTTAATTTCTCATCAATCCAAATACCAAGGTATTTGGTATCGGCAGTTTTTATCAAACGTTCATTTTTTATTCTAATGTTAAGATCAATATTTTGTTTGTTTCCTTGGCAAAAATTATATATTGAGTCTTATTAGAATTGAGAGAAAGAAGATTGGAAAGAAGAAACTATGAATCTAACGGCTGAAGAACCTTAGTATAGTATATGAAGATTAAAGAAGACGAGTAAGAGAGGAACAGAAGAGGCAAATGAAGGAAAGAGACAAATATGCAGAGCAGCAGGACCACTAAAAATAAATAGAAACGATTCAATCTCATATATTGATACCAAAAATTAATCAGAAATTCTGGAGTTGAAGCAGTTGTTTCGTTACCATACTTTTGAATGATTCAAGTGAACGACTGAAATCTGTGACACAAAGAGATATTCAAGTTATGAATATCACTTCTGAAAGAGATTTTATTATACAGGTATTCCGGCTCTTTCGTTTTTAGCACTTTGTAGTAGCTGCCAAATGCCAATTAACATCTTTTAATTTATGAGAAATCCTCTTTCGTCTGCTGATACCAAAAATGAGTCTTAATCAGGAATTCTGAAGTTTTTGAATGCGTTTTATATCAACAACATCTAAGCAAGGTCCGTAGACAGTTTCGCAGTAATTGAGCTGGGATAACACCAATGACTCACAAAGCATTTTTTTGATATCTTGTTCAAGAGAGTGCCTAAGAGGGTAAATCATTTTCAAATTAGAATAGCATTTCTTCAGCACATGCTTGATATGTTCTTTGAATCGAAGTTTATAATCGATTATTAACCCTAGATTTTTTTGTGCTGTTCTTGAATGGAATTACATCATCGCATATGCGTAATACACAAGATTCAATCAGGGATATTCTATCAGTATCATTACAGAACAAAAGAGCACATGATTTAGATGGATTAATTTTGAGTAGATGTGCCTCATAGGTACGTACTAGGGAATTCAAATCTATATTGATCAGGTTATTAAAATGTATCCTGTCTATCATCCGCATACATGTGGTGGTTACAATGTTGTGAACTTTCTGGAAAGGTGGAAGTGAACAGTGTGAATGAAAGCGGACCTAATATGCTACCTTGAGGTACGCCATGATACAACTAAGGCCTGTGATACTTCATCATTCAAAATTACCTTTTGACTTCGGTCAGTCAAATATGAACTCATTAACTCACATGCAGACTCACTGAATCCAAGAAAATGCAATTTAGATAATAATAATTCATGGTTAATCAAATCAAAGGCTTTGGAAAAGTCAAGTAAAATAAGAATAGTTGCTTTGCTATCATCAATACCTTTAATTATATCATCAGTGATATTTGCAAGTGCAGTTTCACAACTGAAACCGGCTCTGAAACCAGATTGTTTATCGGGTATAATTTTGTTTTGATCTAAATAAGGGCGAATTTGACTATCCATAATTTTTTCAAGAACTTATAAGACAACACCACTGTAAGAAAGCTACTATAAATAGGTTCTTCATTATTAATTATATTATCGAATCAATCCTAAGCTGGTTGAAATTACATCGCCCAGTATATTTAACAGTTCATCAAAATCGATAGTTGAACCGAAATAATAGTTTACAACCCTCTTCTAACGGGTAGGTATAAAGCACAGGTCTCTAATAGCCCTCAGTTGACCATTATAATCACAAATGAATTTGAATAGATTTACTCTTGATATGTTGCAACCAGAATACTTATAGATTTAAATAACTATTGTAAAAATAGTATAAGACGAATAAGGACATGGTATGGAGAGATATAGTTGTTGTTTTTTTTACTATGCCTTTTTTCCAATAACCCGATTTCATTTTTGGATTGTATAACGGACAAGGTTAGCTCGGTCCAATTGAACGAGGTCCAAATAGTTTTCTTTCTTCAAGCACATACTGTAAAGGGTCTGAGATGAGTTTATTGCTTTTTGCCCATGCAAAGACAACCATATAATACGTTTAGTTTCTAGAAAGAATAATAAATTGTCAAGTAAATCTTATTAAGAACATATGTTGAATGGTATTTATGGTTTCCTTTTTGCATGGATACATTCATGGTTGGAAGATTTTTAAATACCACCCAAACGATGGAATAACATTACATGATTGGTCAGATACAACTTGGCGCTAGGTTTTCACTTCCCTCATATCACGTGATACACTAGCTATACAGAAGTAATGTTTGACACAATTTTGTGGAAGTTCGTTTTTGAATTTTGTTCTGTTCAGTTGTGTCACGTGATATCCGGAACGCTGGTGAAGTAATCTGTTATTTGAAATATTCCTTTCATTATGAGTTGATGAGTTATCAACTACTCGAGTGGATAACTCAATTATCATGGTTCTTTACGATTAATATTCAATTATCACTTTTTCTCAACTAGTCTTTGGATGCAGTGAATATCAAGTCAGTTTTATATCATTTAGTCAAGTCCAGATCCTATTTTCATTCACTTCCATTCATTCATTATCCATCTGATAATGAAAGTAGTTAATTCAGTTGGGTAACCATATAGTTTGATTTATGGACCTCCTTCCTATCCCTCTTCCAGATTTATTTGAGATTGAGAGTAAAGTAAACGTAATTGTTTCATTGTTTCAAATAATAACTTGAGAGTGTCTCAAAGTAGAGTAATATACTTTGATTAAAGAATATGCAAGCACAGATATTTTACTAGTGCGATCCATATTACACGTAGATGTGTCACAAGCTGGTAGCTGGGACTTCAGATATAAAAGGAAAGTTGATTTTGATATTTCGTGAATGATTATGTGGCATTTCAATACGATTCATTCAAGAACCTACTTGCCGACCTGTCTCGCTCGGCAGGAAATACTTTTTGTTGGAAATTAGAATTTTATTAAATGAGGTGGTTTTAAGACAGGTTAATGAATTAGTTATCAAGATAGGCTAATTGCTCATCAGACCACCTCATTTACACCACCTACCTTCTCGAGCATGTGGTAGACGTCGGTGAGATCGACGCCCGGATAGGGCGACATACCGTAGGTGGCGATCTCCCAGAGGAGGACGCCGAACGCCCACACGTCCGACTTGGTGGAGAACTTGTTGTAGGCAAGACCCTCGGGCGCTGTCCACTTGATGGGGAATTTGGCGCCCGCGTGCGCTGTGTAGGTGTCGTCGCGCATCAAACGGGCCAGCCCGAAATCGGCCACTTTCACTAGGTGGTTCTCGCCCACCTGAAAGATAAAATTAGGGTGGTTTTCTTGTATTATAAAAAGATTGGGAAGGTGAGAGACAGAGGGCCGGTTGCATAAAAGCTCATCAAGTATTTGATGTCACTTCAAATATTTGATGCGACGTTATAAATGGAATTCGGTTGCATGAAAGGCCCATCATGTACTTAATGGCATGGTTACTTAATCATCTGATTAACTTATGATAATGACTATTTAATTGAAAAATCTGTTGCACAAAGGCCAATCAACTTTAGATGTCACATCAAATCGACTTAATTATGGCATCAACTTAATCAGTGCTCGACCACTGATTAAAGTGACAACCAGCAAATGACATATGAAAGTTCCGCCAAATTATTTGGAATATTTCGCAGAATTTTTGCAGAATCTGAAAAAACGTTGGAGTTCTTAGTTCTTGTTTCATTTCAAAAAGGTGGGGTAGGTAAATGAACACAATAATGTTAGTAAATGACTATTATATTACAGAAAATATCTATCTCATCGTTGTCTTCACGATCTGAAGAAGAACTACTGATTCCCAGGCCAAGAACCTTTTGAAATAGAAACAATCCATTCGAAATGTATGATGACAATGATTTCAATACTCGATTCAGGTTTTCTAAACCAGTTGTGATGGAATTGCTCCATATGTTTGGAAATCATATTGAGCCTCTGACCAGAAGGAATATGTCGATTAGTTCTATGAACCAATTATTGGTCAGTTTATCCATGTACTGTTTTTTCTGTGAACATAAAAATTATATAGACTTTCCATAAGTAATAAAGAATATGCATGAAAATCAGTAGGTAGGTACTTCTATCAATAATTCTCAAAATAATTCATACTATACCAACATCATTTCTACTCAGCCATATCAGCCACAGTTTCAATCTACTTACATTTTCATCTGCTACAATTTTTTTAATCCTTCTTCTCAAATTATCCCATAGAATCCGTAACTGCTTCCAATCTCGTGGTGGGCTGAAGCAGCTATTAAACTCATTCTGAATAATTATTCATGTATCTCTTTTTTTCTTCAAACATATCACATCCGATTGCTTGCTTTCAATAATATTTTTATACCTGTAGACAAGATAAACATAATAGCTTCATGAGTTTTGGATGAAAGATATCAATTAAAATATTAAAATCATACCTAGGTATTATGGAAAAATTCACTTACTTTTTAACAATCTCCATTAACATCGTTTTTTCTGGCTCAGTATAATTCGCCCCTCGTTTTTTCTTCGAAATATCCATTATTTTCCAACTTCTGTCAAACTGAATGTTAAATGTTAATCAAGCAAATAAACCTTACCTAAAATGCGTATCAACAATGCGCGGAACGCAAGGACACAGACAGATTAGCGCTGTTGCCACGCCCTCCTCTTCATCAGTAAATGGAATGATTATCATAGCATCAGATTGTTTATGCAACGCGAATGTCATTTAACATAACATCAAAGTTAATGTGGCATCAGTTGATTGTATGATTAATTTTTCTTTATGCAACCGGCCCAGAGACATTAGTTGATGTGTTCGTTTGGGCCTGGACAAGAGTTACTTTTTATATTCAACTCACCAAACAATTTCTCGCCGCCAAGTCGCGATGTATGAAGCACCTGCTCTCCAAGTAGTTCATGCCGCTCGCTATCTGCGTAGCGATGTACATGAGCACGACGGCATTGATTTGCTCCTTGTTGCCGTTCCGCAGGTAATCCAGCAGGTTGCCCTTGCTCATGAACTCGGTGATGATGTAGAAGGGCGGCTCTCTGGTGCACACGCCCATCAGTTGGACCAGATTGGGGTGTTTCATCTCTTTCATGATGGCGGCCTCTTCGAGGAAGTCTTTGAGGGCCATCGTGTCCTCTTTGAGGGTCTTTACGGCCACAGTCATGTTGTACCTGAAATAGTTCCCCTTTGTAGAATGTATGAGAAGGGTTTTTATATATCTTGGAGGGCACAAAAGGGAATCCCAATTATGTCCGAGGAACATCGCGCGTACCTGGGGAGCATAGGGAGAGAAGATAGGCCTATAGTTATTGGTCAGGTTTTTCTTTTTGGAGATTGGTTTGGACTCTTACTTCCAGCAGGATGGAGAAACACATGACTTGTTTGGGATGGTAAAGAACTTGCAAAGAATCATTGTCAATTATGATGAGCACATCTTGAGAATAATGAGTGGAATTCCATCAGGACCGTTAGCGTAATCTTTTTAAGACCAAACAGAATGCGCCTGATAGTGCGTTGACGAAAGACGATTTCGGGAATTCGACTTTCAACGGGAGGAATATCTGGAGGCACTCTTCCTTGGGAACCTGAGGTGGAATTTGCCACAAACATCTCTGTAAAAATGCTTGCATTCTCTTGTTATATTGTTGCTAATGTGCCGTCGACTTTGGAGTGGTGGGTATGAATTCCGACTGCTTTAGCGAGGAACCGAAGCGAACGGAAACCATTGAAACAACCTATAAGTTTTGATATCATTTTGGCATTGTTTGCTTCTTTTGATGCACCTATTGTATGGCTTCAGTTATTCCTGGCATCAAGATAGTCTGTTCTAGTCACGAGGTTGAGGTTCTTGTGCCAGGGAGAGAAGGCTGTTTATTTCATGGCAACAGCTCTGGAACAGTTCTTGTATGTATGGGAATGTACGAGAACGTATGAGAATGTATGAGTATGTATGAGAATTTATGAGAATTAATGAGAACCTATGATAATGTATGAGAATGTATGAGAATTAATGAGAACCTATGATAATGTATGAGAATGTATGAGAATGTATAGGAATGTATAAGAATGTATGAGAATGTATGAGAATGTATGAGAATGTATGAACATATTATATAAGGATGTATGAACATGTGTGAGAATGAAGGAGAACTTATGAGATTGTATGAGAATCTATGAGTATCTACGTCCTCACCTCTTCCACATCGCCTCGTACACGTCCCCGTACTGCCCACCGCCCAGCTTGTGCCGCATCACGATGTCCGTCCTGCCGATCTCCCATTCGTCCGGCTCCGGACTGAGCGGAAACACCGTCGGCTTGTTGTGCTTCGGCGCCGGATACAGCAGCTGCGTGATGAGGCCGTCGCCGGCCATCGAATGGTGGTGGACGAGCTCGGCCAGCGTGCCGAATTTGCTGTCCTGCGTCACGAAGGCTTCGCCGTCGCTGTCTTCGTTGATGCGGTAGTGGTAGACGCGGCCCTCGTAGCGCAGCGAGATGCTGCGCTGACCGGGGCTGCTTTCCGATTCGCGCACCAGGAAACTACCGTTTATTCCTGGAAAAAGATATATGGGGTGTCCCAGAATAACGTTCGTATACTCCGGGGGGTAATTCTGCATATAAACATAAGAAAAAAATGTTCCCTTCAACATGTGTCCGAAAATGCTTCCTAAAGACGTTAGAGCGTTTTGAAGACAGCTCCTTCAATGCTGTTTTTTTCAATTATCTTTGTTATAATTGATCCTAAGATCACGAAATTTAGTAGCTACGAGTAATTCGATCTCACAAATCGTTTCGTGATACGGAAAACATGATACAGCAAAGTGCGAAACTCGTAACTGATGCTATAAAAATGCCCCAAGTTTTTTTTTTGTTTCAAGATATATCTCATTTCTACTATAGTATATCCAATATCAATTGCAGAATATTCCGCACTGTGCGGTGTCGGCGTGTTTGAAGTTCCAATTGAAGTGACTGCAGGTGCGGCACAAAACTCTGCAATTGTTTTTGGATAAACTATACCAGAATATGATTCTTCAAACACTTTTACATGAAAAAGGTAATCTGCCGTAAATGATAAAAAAAAATAGACCGTCATAGTTAAAATTTTACATTTCCAGTTAGTTTTGTTTTATTAGAATCAATCGTGATGAGGAATGAAAAATTAAGACCGTACCTTGAAGGTACAAAATTTACCGTTCTGACAGACCATTGTAACCTCAAGTGGATTCACATCAAGGACCCTGTGGGGCCTATGTTGATTTGTCGAGAAAATATCCGCAATGGTAGGTAATTGACTAAATTTCAAAGTGGTGTCGATAACGGTTCGACTTACGGCATTCTAACAAAAATACAATTTTCATCCAAAAGTGTTTGAAGGATTATATTCTGGTAGTAGAAAAGAGATAAATCTTGAAACGAAAACATATTCTGGTAGTTGAAGAGGTAAATCTTGAAACAAAAAAACTCAGGGCATTTTTAAGCATCGGTTAAGAGTTTCGTACCTTCCTGTATCCTGTAGATTAAATCATTATTTCCGTACCACAAAGCGATTTGTAAGATCGAATCACCCATATTTCGTAATAATAGGATCAATTATGACAAAGATAATTGAAGGAAACTGCATTTGGCTGCTCTAGCGCCCTTAAAAAGCATTTTCGGACACATGTTTAAAAAAAAGTGTTTAAAAGTGTTTTTAAAAGTGTTTAAAAGTGTTTTTAACCGCCAGCTTAGTTGCAAAGCAACCCTCGAAAGTCAGAGACTTGTGTGAGTTAAGAAGACGTTGATAGGAACATTTTTTCCTATTCTTACCTGCAGAATTACCTTCCAGAGTAAAATACCGTTATTCTGTATACTGAGTCTACTTGTTTCGCAGTTGTATTTCAGAATGATCAATAATTGAAGTCAATTCAATTCCAGATTTTTTCAATTGTAGTCCAGAGATTATCATATGCATTTCAGTAAACTTCAAAATTGAGAATTTTACAACTGGAAGCTGCTTTGAAAAAAGTAAAACACGTAAACGATATATTTGAAGAAATTGTTTTACTGATTTCAATATTATTGAAGCCACCCCAAGGTCAACCTTTTGACCGATACAGGACCAGCCTCGATCCACTGCTGAACGCAAGTAGATTCTTACCTGAACTGAGTAAGTATTCCGCAGCATTCCTAGATATTGGTCCATGATACCATGAGTGTTTTTCTAAAGAATTGACGGGCGTCACGTAATTCGATGGCACCCAGCCTACTTGGTTCGTTGAGGAGTGTGCTTCGCACCATTCACCACTTTTGTTGTAACTCAAAATCCTAACTTGTTCACCTGAAACAAAAAAATATCACACGATGAAAAGAATTGAAACGATGATTTCGGCAGAGGAAAGAATACATAATAACCAATAACAATGTGTAATTTTGGGCAATCATTCTGTACATACATATTGAACTCTCTGATATCGGCATCCTACTCGATATCACGTACGTAACGTCACATTAACTTAATGAAACGTATAACACTTGACGTTGGTCATTGTCGGTAAAACAGTTGATGTCACGTTACGTGAAAGGGATATAATTGCGCAATGTCAAATTGCGTCGTTATAGCACTATTTGCCACTTATCATGATGTATTATCGCGTCACATAACCGTAGCCTTTGATGTCACGAAGCGTTGTCATAGCAAATGATGTTATGCGATCTGACCTAATTCAACGTCATTTAGCATAGTAACAGGGGTTGATGTCACATGCCTTGACACATACGAGTTATCGATCGTGATGTCACCTAACGTCGTTGTAACGATCAACATCACGGTAAATCATTATATCTATTCAGGTGACGTATTATCGATATAACACGTAATTTCACGTACCCTAACTCTGAAGAGTTATAGCTCATAATGTTATGTTGTGTCGTTATAGCACTCATACCACTTATCGTGACGTAAGGTCGCGTCAAGTAATCGTTATGTCGTCCTCTGATGTCACGAAACGCCGTTATAGCAATTAATATCATGCGACACGCATTTATTCCACTTCAGTAGCATTGTTATAGCGTGAATGGTACGTACCGTGACTACTAACGTCGTTGTAACGTTCAACATAACGTAAAGTCGTTAAAGTTTTCGAGAAGATGTTATATCGTAATAACACCCAAGGTCACGTAATGTGTTTATAACACTTAATGTCACCTAATGTCATTAAAACACTCAATATCACGTATTGTCGTTATAACACTAAATGTCACGTATTCCTGTTATAACACCAACTATCACGAATTCGAATTGTCGTGCTCTAGTACCTCTAGTTCCAGGGATAAAGAAATGAAGCATAGCTGTGAATTATTTGATTTCAAAAGTGGGAATAACAAACCATCTTGTAGATTATTGGCAGTTTCAGTGTCTACCGCCACTGTGAGATCTTCCAGTTCGACTTCATACATTTTCCCAAAGTACTTGAAAATAATAATATATAATTTCTATCGACTCATACCTAACCATTCGAAATTGAAACGCTTAACCTAACATTTCATGAATACTGGCCCTACATCACAATTTCAGCACCAGTGGCCAACAGCAAACTTTCAGCCTCTTACAGGGTTTCCTTGCAATGAGTTAATCGGAACGATAAAATATACTGGGCAGTATTGTTCGAGAATATCTGAAGATGCTGACTTAATGTCATGTTTTTTTAATGTTCTGGTTCCCATGAAAAGGGATATCCTGTAATGTTCAGAGAACATCGTGAGAACCAAGGGAAATAAGGTAGAAATTGGTGTTCTTCTTAAATTTCTGGAGGTTATATGCCACGGGGAACACCCCCTTGGCAATGTGTTCCAGAGCCTCGCTGTTCGTTGGATGAACGAGTCTTCGGAAAGAGATGCTCTGCAGGTCTCCAAAGTGACCACAAAGGGGTGCGGAGCCTCAACTCGACGGGTTAATTTCGCGGGACTGCCAAGGGAGGAACAATTGTTGATATTTCAGAAGAGACGAATTGCCCTATTTGGACAGAATCCAACAGTTTCAGGGTATGTTCGGGTGCTGCACTCCAAATATGGGAACAGTATTCCAGGACAGGTCGGATCTGTGCCTTATAGGTCATAAGCAGCTGACTGGAAGTGAAATAGTCCCTGGCCCGAAACAGAAAACCAAGTTTTTGGGATGCACTTTTAGCAATTGATCTCACGTGATTTTCCCAAGAAAGCTTATTGCTGATAGTAATACCAAGCATCGAAATGGATGTCTTCAAAGGTATGGTTACTCCTGACAAGCTTATGTTGGGCACAGTGAGATCGGCTTCCTTAGAGAAAAGGCATGTTTGTGTTTTGTTTGCATTGAAATCTACCAAGTTATTGGATCCCCATTCGAGAATTGTTATGTTATGATTTGCTTGGCTGGTATTGGAGCCCTGGAAGAGAAAGCGGTATGGAGGGTACTGTAGTGTCGTTATAACACGTAATTTCTTGTGGTGTCGTTAAATCACTTAATACACCGACTGTCGTTATAACACTCAATGTCACATAATATCGTTATAACACCTAGAGTCACGTTATGTCGTTACAACACTCTTAGTCACGTCATGTCGTCGACACTTACTTTTCTTGAGGCTGAGCTGGTTCTCGCCGCCGGCCTGGAAATCGTAGAGGGCGACGAACAGCTGCGGATCGTCCTCCTCTCGAGCGAGCAGGTTCTCCTTCGATGTCCACCGGTGGGCCGTCTCGAAGGAGAGAGGCGTCGTCGGCGCCGGCGACGTGGCGGTGGCGGCAGAAGAGGCGGCGGCGGCAGCGGAGGTGGAGACGGCGGAGGGGGAGGAGAGGGAGGTGGGCGGGTCCGAGTCCGGCAGGCTGGGGATGTGGGGAAGCGGTCTGCTTTGCAGGAGGGCCTCTGGAAAATCGTGATGTTCAAGAATGAGAGTAGGATCTTGCACAATTACAGAATGTTTCGCAGGTTGTCAATGAATTTTATGGAATCACTTGTTTTTCATATTCAGTTAGAATGGTCTCGAATTACACCATTTCCAGTTGTATTTCAGAAAGCCTCAAATGTTTTTCAGATTAGTCACTTTTTCAGAAAGCGAAAATTGTATTTCAGAATATTCAATTTCAGAGTTCCATTTGCATTTATAATAATAATAATAATGTAATCATAAATTGTATTATCTCTTCAGACAACATATTAAAATTGTATAGGACTAGTCAGACATCAGGTAGAATAAAACAAACACTAAAACTAAAAACTGAAATCAAACTTCAGAATTATAAACTCTAGTTAAAAAGAATGGTTGATATATATAACTGTTTTCTACAAACGTCAAAAAATGACAAGGTTCGCGCATTGATAACAAATTGCGAAGTGATACTTTTTTCAGTTTCCTACGTTACCATGATACCTTGCACAAAACAATGCGCGAAGTAAAACAGTGCGCGAAGTACCTACCAAAGTAACATTTCGCGCTCTAGATACGAAAATAACTATTTTAATAATGAATATTTTAATCACATATTATAAAACTCCTGTACTCAGTAAATTGATTTCTCTACTAAATACAGTTTCAAATTATTTCTAAATATTCTGACGGTCTTACAACTCTTCAGTTCTATGAGCAATACATTGAACAGAGATATTGAACAATCGAGATAGGTGAGTTATATGATAATATAATCGTCAAATTCAGTCTCATCTACTGAGCCAAAACCTAGGAGGAGAGGAAGGCCAAAAAAAAGGCTTTCAAAGATGAACAAGAACTCTTGGTGAATAGGCCAGCACATCATGAATCAGGCAGGCCGAAACGCACCTGTGTTGGTCAATCTTCTCAGCATGAAATCGCCGGCCAGCACTCTGAAGATTCACAAGAATCGAGGTCCTATAGTTGTCGAGGCTCTTGTTAGCATGAACCTGGGGCAACTATATATTTGGAACTTCTAATTTTTTTCAACTTCATGAAATGTACTATACATTAGTGTAACAATTTATTTTTCTCATTACATATATTAATGTTCGAATTCAATTCAGATCCTTCTTCTGATTTTGAAAGTAAAAGTATATTATTTATGAAAGAAATATATATTTTTGCAATAGGGTATGCGAAAATCTATTTTCTGTCTTGTATTAAAGGAATGAATATTACCATTTCTCAAGACTTCGTTCTGGTTTGCAAATGTCTCTACAGCTTGTTGTACGAGACACACCAGCAATGGTTCGAATTAATTTCTTCTGGGCGATAAAGACGACTTGAGCATAATATAACATTGTCAATTGGTTTACATTCAGCATTGAGCGAATATTTTCAAACATATAATTCAAGGAATTCAATTTAAAAATAACGTTCTCACATTGAGTCTTCCATACTAGCGATTCATTAATATGAACACCTAAAAATTTCACAGATGTACGCGATGTGATTATCGAGGTGATTATATCATTATTTATATTCAAATTCATATTCTCAATATTTCTCTGTCTGTTATGGAAGCATATGCAGTGGGTTTTCTCAGAATTTAGGTGCAATGAGTTCTCCATAAACCAAGCATTGAGATCATGTAACACTTTATAACATTTGTTTTGTAAAAATTCATCAGGTTTCTCTGATATAATGAGCGAAGTATCATCAGCATAGAGCGTAAAGGAAACTCCTGAAGAAACTGTTTCATTGTTATTTGTATATAGTAAAAACAAGATTGGCCCTAAAACTGACCCCTGAGGCACACCCACCTCAATATGTATAAGATTGGAGGCATAGCTTCTTGTACAATTTCCAGAGGTGTTTTTTATACTTACATATTGTTTCCACGCAATTATGAATGTTTTCAACACAAATTTGCCGAATCGCCACGAATTCCTAGTTACTGAAAATAATGGCATTCAAAGATTGAAAAGGCAAGTAACCGAAATTTTATTAGTGATTTATTCGTTAATTTGTTAAGAGGAATGGGTCGAAAATGTATGTCATTTAAAAAAGTAGAAACGTGGAAATAGAAATTTCACAGGCTGTTGGGCATCGAAAAACAATCACCTAGTGTATGCACTCCTTTTTTTGTTTCGCTTCGCTCAACAAAAGGCAGTAGAAAGATTATTCTTCTTCGATTCGCAATATAAGAATAACGGAATAAGAGGCGATATCCTCTGTCTTCTTATATGATTCAGTGAACAGTTTCTGGTCGCATTACAGATCCTTTTCGAAGTAATATCAGTAACAACTGGAGGACAACAATTACTGTAATTTCATCGCGGTAAACCGCGTTCCCTTCGTAACCTAGTGGATTCTTGCGGAAATTTTGACCTCACTAACTTGTGCTTTCACCATCGAGCATCGAGGTGACAATGCAATTTCGGCTAATTCAGAATCAATAAAAACAAGAACTTACTGTTTATTTGTAGTTTATCTAAAATATCTAGATCTTCGACCAACAGAGACTGAAGTACAGTTTTTCTAAAGAAGAAAGAACACAAATGGACCAAAAATCCAGATCAGTTTGCTAAGACTGCTAATATACACGGAAAAAAGGATTTATGGATCAAAAAATCATTTTTACTTGAATTAATTTTGTTGGACTGAGCAAATTTTTCTGGAATCAACCAGATACATGATTATTTCATGGAAGCAGCTTGTTCAAATCAAGAATGTAGTCTAATTGAATCAACAGTATAATATCAATTCAATCAACAAAATATATGGGTTTGCCAGAAACAAATAATGTCGATCCAAAATAATGTCGATGTCGATTCACCTATATAAACATTTTGTTTATTCGATGAAATAATGATCATTTTGATGAGAATATATCTTTGAAACAACATACAGGTTTTCTTAATCCGATGTAGCAATGAACTCGTTTCGAACTAATCATTTGCTTGTATAAAGCAACGAAATATGTAAAATATCAATGAAATATTTTGTTAATTTTTCATCAAGTTTTGCATCAGCTGAAGAGAAGTAAAGACTGGAGATCTATGCTAGAAGTCGACTAGTTTCCTAGTTTAGTTTATTCTATCGATGTGAAATTTCAGAAAACTCCCGTATTAATACTGAATTTGGTTCAACAAAACAATTTGTCAAATGGAAATACAGTTTCTCTTGAATCAACGAAATATTTCATTGAATCAACAAAATATTCCATTGAATTAACCAAATAGTGCATTGGATTAACCAAATATTTAATTGAATCAACCAAATAATTCATTGAATCAACCAAATATTTCTTTGAATCGACCAAATATTTCATTGAATTGACTAAATATTCGAATGAACCAAACAAAATGATTGTTTGAGCCAATCCATTATCTCTTCATAATCAATTCATGGATGTGCTTGATTGAATAAGATCCAAAGTTCATGCAAGACATATTTACTTGATTCAAACTTCAAATTCGCTCTGAAACAAGATATAGATTTACTCATTTACACTTTTAATTTGATTCATTCAATGAAATTTTGCTTGATTCAACAATTCCTTCATTTCCGTGTAGCTGAATTCTTATAGTTTTGCCAAATTCGAAGCTCTATACTGGGCATTGTTTGACAACTATTAAGTATCATGAGGGATGGAAATCTTCGTCAGTATAGCAGATTAAAATGAAAATTTCATAAATTCATTTTCAACGAATTAGAAGGTTCCTTTTTGTAAACGTTGCTTATAATTGAATTAAGAAGTGATAATTTTCAAATCGAAAATGAAGCGGCTTATATCTATTGGCAAAAGGACCATTGCCAGAAAACTCCTCGAGATGTTGCTGATTTGGGCTCATGATGGAAAGCGAAAACAGTACCATCTTGTTGTTCAGAGTGTAAAATATACAGGGTGGTCCAGGTGAAACGTCATCAATTATGAAAGGCGACAGAACAACAAACAAAAGTAGACTTTCATGAGAGAACCTTGTTGAAAAATGTTTCCTAATGAAGATACAGAGAATCGAAGTTTGGGCAGAAACTGGTTTTCTCATCATAACTAATGAAGCATATCTCTTGGTGACTATTAGATTAAAATTATTCGAAGAAATTATTCAGCGGCGTAGATATTGCGGTGAGCACCTCCTTCTTCCTCTCCCAATCTTCGGAGCCACTGGATATTTAACAAATAAGATTCAATGTTTGGATTACCTGTTTGATTTAGAAATATAAAATACTCTTGTGAACTTATTTGCATTTAAATGGTTTGCAAACAAGTCTAAAGCTGAATGCTAGGCCAGAAAGCTGCGCAGAATGGGCGATTTGCTCATCTAGTGGACTATATTTTTATTATTTTTCAAATGGAATCGTCACTCAATTACCTTTCAGTTCCATTTTTTTTTTAGATTTCTTCGGTCGATTTTAAGGAGCTGAAATCATCAACATTGTTACGGTAATTTTTAAACGGCTAGAAATTTACCGCAAATAAAAACTGATGTCACGATTTCGTAAGTATAGGCATAGCACAGTTGTCCGAGCAGTTGTCATATGTTAAAATACGAATTTGAACTTTAGGAATATTATTCGTTTAAAAATTCATAAATTCTCAATTATGTATTAGTAATATCCCTAATTAGCTATAAAAAATCCATTGCCTCAAAATTGAGAAGCCGTGACTTGCCAATCGGCCTAATGAATGAGACGATCAAATAACTCTCAATCATTTTTATTTCGACATAATTATTTGATACATTGATACCAGTTTATGCACAAAGCTTTGACACCCTGTATCTTTGTTAGGAGAAATTTTTCAACAATGTTCTCTCAACTCTCAATTTTATATTGATGCAGGATAATGCCCGACCACACACCGCAGCAATAGTGCGAAACTTCTTTAAAGCTACTGATATTACCACATTACAATGGCCTGCGAGAAGCCCCGATATGAATCCTATAGAACATTTGTGGGATGAATTAGGGAGAAGGGTACGTTCTCGCG